GCCTTGCCAGCCCGCTCAGCCCGTTCGCCCGCCCGTCCGGTGGCTGAGCGTCCGCGCCCGCGCCCGGGTTTTCGCCTGCCTGCGTCGGGGGTCGGCCGCTCTCTTTGGCTGCACCTTGGGGTCCACGCCCGCTACGCTAGGCCAAAGCTAGGCGCGGCACTCGGGACTCGAGCCATGGCCACCCTGCCTGGCTCGCCTCCACCACCCCCTTCTCACCACCCCAGGCCATGGCCATGCCACGGGCCACGGCCGTCGCTGCGGATCCGCGCTTTCTTCCACCAACCAGGTGACGGCACCTCAGCGCCCGCCCCTTCCCCCTCCCCCCCACTCAGTCGGGCGAGCAGAGACACAGGCACGAGCAACGACAACAGGGATGACCATGGGAATGCTCCGCGACAGAAACGACAGGCGGTAGACGGCAAGACGAGAAATGGCATAGCGAAGAATGCCTCGAGGCCGCGCCGCGCCGGGGCCTAGACGAAGCGCTTGTAGGCGTGCGTCTCGACGAGCTTCTTGGCCGTCTTTGGCTTCGTCGGGCGCACCTTGCGCCGCGGCTCAATCAGGGCGCGCTTCTGCATCATCGTGTACCGGTCGCGCAGCAGGCTCCCCTCGGGCCGCAGCGTGCGCAGGTTCTCGCTCAGCTCCTCGCCCACCTGCACGTCGATCTTTTCCGTCGGCACCTTGTACTTGCCCAGCTTGAGCCCCTCGACGCCCTTGGTCCGCAGCCGCTGCTCCTTGGCCAGCCGCCGCTCCTCGGCCGCCGCCGCCCGCGCGCGCGCCGCCGCCTCGTGCTGCTTGCGCAGCTTGGGCAGCTCGCTGATGACGCCCTTTTCCCGTCGAGCCTGCTTGCGCGCCTGCGCCAGCGCAGCCTGTCGAAGCGTACGATTGGGTCGGAGAGAGAAGGCGGGGAAAACCAGAGCGCGGCCAAGGTCAGCATTGACTCGGCACATGCCGTGCGAGAATCGTCGCCTCTCCTGCCTGCGCCACTTAGACTGCTCACCTGCTCGGCCGCCTTTTGTGCCTTGGCCCTCTGCTGCTTGGTCTTGCGCTGAGGCCGCGCCGGCTTGGCCTTGGCCTGCGCACCTTCTGCATCGTCCTCGTCGCCGCTCGCCTCGTCTCCGTCGTCGTCGTCTTCGCCGGGCAGGTCGACCTCCATGCCCTTGTACCGCTTCTCGCCCTCGACGCGCTCCAGGATGGCCTCGCGCTGCGCCGCCTCGCGCATCCTCCGCGCCCAGTCGCGCGCCGCCTCGTCGTCGGCCTGCTCGGCCTCCTCGAGCTTCCGCTCAATCTCGTACGCTTCCTGGATCAGCCGGTCGTGCGAGTCGAGGTCCGGGTTGTACGACGTTCCCGGGTGCGGCAGCGAGACCGAGGGCAGCGAGCGCGCCACCGAGCCCATCTCGTCCTCGAGGAACGACTTGGGCATCTTGACCTTCTTGACCGGGATCCAATCGTTTTCGGTGGCGCCGGCGGCGGCGGCGCCGTCTTGGGCGGCCGCATCCGACGCCTGCTTGCCCTTGCCCTTGGCGCTCGGCTGGCCGGCGGCCCACACGTCGTGGATCTCCTTCATTGCGAGCTTGACGGCGTCGCTCTGGTCCCTGGCGCCCGGCCCGTCTTCGCCGGTGATCTGGTCTGCCCTGCCAGCCATGCGGCGGAGCTTGTCCTTCATCTTCTTGGAAATGCCCTGGCTTTTGGCCTTGCCCTCGGCGGTGCCCTCGAGCAGCTTGAACTGCGCCCTGGCCTTGGCCTGGACGGGGGCGGCGCCCGTGGTGCGCGAGAGGATCTCGAGCGACTTGAGCGGCTTCTTCTGCCTCGCCCTGCGCGCCAGCGTCGTCTCCTGTCCCGCGCGGTCCTCGACGAACAGCGCGTCGTCCTGGACGGCGTGGAGCGGCTTGCCCCCGGTGGACGGTGCCGAGCCGTCGGCGGTCGAGTAGACGGGCATGTTTTCCTCGTCGCGCATCTGGGCGAGGTGGGCCTCGGTCGAGGTGAGATCAATGTTCTTGCGCCATGCCGCCTTGCCCTTTCGCGACGACTGGGCGTGCTGCGCGGGCTTGCCGACGACGGCGGGCTGCGAGGCCGTCGTCAGCTTGGACGAGGTGGCATCGGTGTCGGTGGCGGCGGTGTTGGCGGCCGCCTTTTGGGCCTTGGCGGTTCGGGTCGGCGCCATGGTCGGTGGCGGTCCGGGATGGAGCTGCGGCGGTTCCTGCGATGAGATGATCTGGCGGTTGCGCGGTCCGGCAATGGTGCTGCTAGACTAGAGGAGGTTGATGTGGTGGCAGCGGTGGTCGTCAGTCTGCTGCTGCTGCTGCGAGGACGGCGAGGAAGCGGGCGAGAGAGGCAGGGCAGGGAAGAAAACCTGCAGCCCACCCTGGAGGGCCAGCCGCCGCCGCCGCTGCCAATTTTCAGCCTGGAAAAACTCGCCGCCCAAAAAATCCTGGCTTGCTCTGGCCTGGCGGGGGCGGTGCATGCGGGGGCAGATTCAAGTCCCGAGTTCCATGGCTCGAGGGGCAAGTGCGGGTGGGGCTGGCTCAGAAGAAAAACCGCCGTCCCACGGGCTGGCTGGCTGGCGGGCTGCTTGCTCGGTCCTGGATCCTATCCATCATCGACGACCTCGACGCCATCAGCCATCAGCCATCAGCCCGCACTCGCACTCGCACCGATCCTCATCTCACCCCTTTCTCGCCTTGAACCGAGACCGAAGCGACACAAAAGCTGCATCATCACCCATCTTCCAAGCTCCAACTCGCTCGACTTAACAGTCCCGCTTGTTCCACGATGGCGACACAGACGACACCGACGACGACGACGACACAGCCGGGCCTGACCGAGGAGCAGGTCGACGACCTCCTGTTCGCCGCACGCGTCGGCGATCTCGAGGACGTGGCCGCCTTCCTCGATCCCACCATCGCATCCGCCACCGCTTCCGGCGATGAGGCGCAAATAGCCCAGCTGCTCCTCTCGATCAAGAACGACTCGGACAATACCCTGCTTCACTACTGCTCCGCCAATGGCCATCTCGGTGAGTCCGGACAAGGGAGCACACGAGAGAAGAACAAGAGAGCGGGCGAGGAGCCGTGGAATTCACCCGATACTGACCCCACCGTCCCTTCCCCCTCTCTCTCCCTCTCTCCTCTCCGCTCTCTCGACCATCTTAGACCTGGTCAACTACCTCCTACCACACTCCAACCTCTCTTACCTGCTGCACCAGAACGCGTCGGGCAACACGGCGCTGCACTGGGCCGGTCTCAACGGCCACCTGCCCGTCGTCACGGCCCTCATCGACCGCATCGAGGCGTGCGAGCGCGCCCACCCAGACGAGGCCAGCAAGCTCAACCTCCTCCTCCACATCCAGCCCTCGGGCGACGAGAAGCACGAGGAAGGATCAGAGAGGAAGCTCTGGGACGTCCGCAACGCCGCCGGTCGCGGTCCCATGAGCGAGGCGCAGATGAACGAGAGGGAAGACGTCGTAAAGTACCTCCTCGAACGCATGATCGAGGGCGGCGCCGCGCCAGACGCTCCCGCCTCGACCGCCGACGCCGAGCAACAAGCACAGGACGGCATCGAGGAAAAGACGGCCAAGCTCAGAGTCGGCGATGAGGCGTGATGCGGGCCCCGCGCTCCAACACCACAGCAGGCTCGAGGCGGTCCGCCACGAGCCCAGTGATGACCACCCTTCCTAGAGCATTCGCCCCAACGTAATTCGTTCCAGCGCATCCGCCGTCGTTCCTTCCGTCGTTCGCTCGGTCATCGTCGGCCGCAGAGACTGCGTCTGACGTGTGCGTGTGCGCGTTCGGTCGATTCCTTGCGCCGTGCAGGATTGCACGGAGGGTGTGTGGGCGTTTGGCCAGCGCAGCTCTCTGGCAAACTCTTTCTATCTCACAGCTCCATCTGTCGTCGTCGTCCTTGTCATCGTCTGCGGCGTCCTCCCCACTGGCGCTCTTTGAGGACGTGCGGTCAGCTCATCGATGGCGGGCGACCTTCGCCGGGCCAGGTCGGCTCAGCAGCTTGGCCGAGCCACTTAGAGGGCCTTGCTCTTGACGAGCTCTGCGTGGTTGCGAGAGGGAGGAGGAGGCGGATGAGGGAGGGTAAGCAAAGACTCAAGAGAAACGGTCCCTATCGATGGACGGGCGCCCCCTGGCAGGTCTCTGCAGCAGGCTGCGGCTCCAACGGCAACTCACGCTCAATCTCGGCGACGGCGTTGTCGAGGATCTGCTTCTGGAGCTTCTCGTCCTTGAGGCTGTCCTGGACCTTCTGGATGACGGCCTCGGCCAGCTGGCGCTGCTCCTGCTCGCGCTCGGCGGCCTCGTAGCGCACCCAGCTGTCCAGGACGGCCTTGACGTCGCTGGCAATGGCCGTCTTCTGCTTGAGCTCAAACACCTCCTTCTCCGTCTGGGCAGTCTCCTTGGCCACCTGGTAGAGCGCCTTGGTGATGTCGACGACGTCCTTCTGCTGCTCGACCGAGTCGATGCGCGCCTGGACGGCCGTGGTGTGCGTCTTGCGCGCGCCGTTCAGGATGTTGGAGATTTTCTACGGGGAGGGGGCCGGCGGATAAGCGGGGGATGGGGTGGAACGGAGTCAAGGGTCAGCGGGTCATTCGATGGCGGCCAGCGAGATAGACGAGATCGGCATCGATGCCGAGGAGGATGCTGCGGCCCACGAATCGACGGCGCCCGGATGACTCCACCGCTCAGGATCCCTGGCGTCCATGACGAGAGTGATCATCAGGCGGGTGCAGCCCGTTGCCGGAGACGGGCAGGTCCGTTGCCGTGCCGCGACGCCCGAATCGCAGCGTCCATCATGGCTGGAACCGAGACGGTCGGCGGCAGTCCGGTACAGGCCAGACGACAACCCCGACCAACTGAATCTGCAGAAGCCCGCAAAGATGCCAGCTCCACGGTAGGAAAGCAGGAGGCATCGCCGAAACAGGGCCCCGATGCTCCCTGAGCCATCCTCGCTCCAGGTTCCAGCGCTATGCCGGCGGCCGAGATCCGTCTGGGGCGGGGCAGGTGCGCCGGT